TAAAGTGATGAAGGAAGGGGAAGAAGAAGTTAAAGTGATGAAGGAAGTGGAAGAAGAAGTTAAAGTGATGAAGGAAGTGGAAGAAGAAGTTAAATAAAGTGGACGGCGGTTCGATGGCTGGCTCCACTCGTTCATGTCAAACACATGAAACACATGGTCAGGTTTGAGGGACCGCAGTGCATCCTGGGGATTTTTCTGTGGGTGGATCAAGAGATCCACATGAGTCCAGAAACCGGTTCCCTCCTTCAGATAAAGTCAAATAAAACAGCAAACATAGTGAGTCAGAAATACATATTAGTTCCATGTTATCTTCACTATCTAGTACAAAAACATCCATATGATGTTTTTTATTGACAAGATATTCATAATTATATATATATATCTATATCTATATATCTATATATAAAATGCAACCATCAGAGTCCATCACACTGGATTTGGAGGATCAGGTCTTCAGGTCTGTGCTGCCTCTCTGTGGTCACAGTGAGAAACCATCAGTCAACAAACAGTTCATGTTTAAACCAGACGAAGTCAGACTGTGTCAAGTAATCTGGACTTCAGGAGGATCAGATGGATCTAGTTCTGGTCTCTGCTGTGAGTTCATAAAAGGACGTTTGTGTGTTTTTATTTCTGTACAAAGTATCAATTTATAGAATTTAACAAGATCAAAACATAAAAAATAATTTAACAAAAAATCATATATAGATACAGTTTGTACACAGGAAAAGGTTAGTTAAGAGTTAGTTAAGCATTAGTTAAGCGTTAGTTAAGAGTCAGTTAAGAGTCAGTTAAGAGTTAGGCAAAGGTTAGTTAAAGGTTAGTTAAAGGTTATCTGGTGATAACCAGATGAAAATAATAACTGGGTTCTCGTCCCTTTTCTGACTAAATGTTAAACTTTAGTCGAATAATAAATGTTTAAATGATCCTCGTGGTCAGCGATCAGATCCAGGACGGAGACTCTGAGAGACTCTTCAGAGGGATGACGGTGACGGAACAAGTCCTAGTCTTCTGCTGGGAGAACACCTGGTGGGCAGCCGGGTCCACCTCAGATGAGACTCACCTCAGAGTCCAGTGACATCAGGGGGATGTCACACTCTTTATGATGAGCTGTGTGTGTGAGTGGAGCTCTGGTTCTTTATTAACAGATACAAAAATAACTTCAAACCGATTTAGTTCAAAGTTCTACCTTTGAACAGGAAGTGATGACGTCACTGGTTGTCTGAGCAAAGACTGTGTGTGCGTATGCGCGAGTGTGTACACGTGCATTGCGCGCGCGCATGTGTGAACTCCACTTTGCCAAACTCCAAGTGCCATGATGACCCATCTCCTCACAGATGCATGCCGGGAAGTGAAGTCTTTAAAGCCCCGTTAAACCAGCTCTCCTAGCAGGGCACGAACTGCATTTCCCAGCATGCCCCGCGCGTTTTCTTCCTTCCCTCCTTCCTTCCTGCAGCCTCGGCCCTTCTGCCGTGAAAAAGGAAGATGAGCACACGGAACCGAGTCTGAACCGAGTCTGACTTCCAGCGGAATGGAGGCTGAGCGGCTGCAGATGGACCGGAGGAGCCGGAGATCAGCTGCTGTTCCTCGGCCTTGAACCCGTCACGACCGCCGCTGGAGCCGCTGGAGTCCCGGAGGAGCGGCGGGAGGAGCCGCAGCCTGCCGGGCCGAGGCGGGCCGAGCCGAGCTAAGCCGAGCCGAGCCGAGCCGAGCCGTCGACGATGCTCAGCTAGCTGCTGCAGGACTGAAGCCTCGACAGCACCGCACCCTGAAACCAGACCCAATCTCCCCCTGTCCCCCTTCAGGTGAGAGGCATGCTGCACACCTGTAAGGTTTACCTGGTCCCCTGAGACCGTGAGACCGGCTCTGGTCTAGTTTAGGGTCCTGCTGTCAGACGTGTCGGGTCCTGATCTGGTCTGATCCTAATCTGGGCTGGTTCTGATCTTGTCCTGGTCTGATCCTTATCTGTTTCTGGGTCCTGCTGTCAGACTGGACCAGGTGAACACTGAAACCAGGTTATGTGGTACCTGAACCGAACCTGAAGCCTCCATGTGGATCTGGTAGGAACCAGGTGTTGACTCATCAGTTCCTCCACCACAGACTCAGGTTCAGGTCTATGTCGGGCCCTGATCCAGTTCTGAGGAGAACAGGTATCAGACCAGGTGTTGAGACCAGAACCAGAACATATAAACTCTTAATAACATCAAACATTCGTGAGTTTTATAAATAAAAATGAATCTAAAGTCAGTAAACAAACATGAACTTCTAACCAAGTACTTTTACAAGTACTTTATTCTCTGCTAGTGTACTTCTACTTCATATCAGAGTGAAGATTATACTTTTTACGTTTATCTGCTTTACAGATTCAGATTATTAATCTAAACTAATAAATGATGTATTATTACTATATACTAATATATAATACTATATTATAATATATATTAAGAGTACTTTAACTTTTGGTACTTTAAGTATACTTTGATAGGTTTTGAATGTAGTACTTTTACTTTTTCTACACTGTAGTGTTAGTACTGTGCGAGTCCTGGTCCTGGACCTGCACAGTCCTGTTCGTCTTCACTCACATCATCAATACAAGAGATCAGTGCTCTGTGTGAAACCTGGTCCAGGATCAGGGTTTAGGTCACTGCTGATGAATGACATCACTACGTACGGAGATCAGTGATTGGAGGAAAGTGAAAAATATTGAAATGAACGAAATCAGATTAAACATAAGAACTTCAGCCAAGAGGTGATTGTTTCTGTGGTATTTAGTCTGTGATATACTCACTGAACTGTATGTCCTGGTCCAGGTCCTGGTCCTGATCCTGGTCCCTGTTGTGTCCCTGCAGGCTGCAGCATGGAGCGCTCCGGCAGCATCCAGCTGGACATCCCGGACTTCAGTAACTCCGTTCTGTCTCACCTGAACCAGCTGCGTGTTCAGGGCCGTCTGTGCGACATCGTGGTGAACGTGCAGGGTCAGAGCTTCCGGGCGCACAAAGTGGTCCTCGCCGCCAGCTCGCCGTACTTCCGGGACCACATGTCTCTGGGCCAGATGAGCACCGTGTCGCTGACGGTGATCCGCAACCCGTCGGTGTTCGAGCAGCTGCTGTCCTTCTGCTACACGGGACGCCTCTGCCTGCAGCTCGCCGACATCATCAGCTACCTGACGGCCGCCAGCTTCCTGCAGATGCAGCACATCATCGACCGCTGCACTCAGATCCTGGAGGGGATCCACCTGAAGATCAGCCTGGCGGACTTGGACGAGGACCCCCGGGAGGAGGAGGTGGCTCGGGGCTCCAGGAACAGCCGGACCCTGGAGGCCGTGGTGCGAGCCGGCGGTCATCACGCCGCCGGCCTGCGGCTGCTCGGCACGAAGGGAGGCGGCGAGGCGTGCGAGGCCATCAGCCCCGCCGAAGAGACCCTCAGCCCACTGCCAACTGTGGACCACAGCGGGCTGGAGGGGACCGGGCCCTCTGGCAGAACGGGCAAAGAACCGATCCTTCGCATCAACCGGGCCGGTCAGTGGTACGTGGAGACCAACAGCGAGCCAGAGCGGACCGGCAGTGCCGAGGAGGGCGGCGGGATGGACCGTGTGAGGATCAAGACGGAGAGGATGGAGGACTGGATCGGAGCAGGGGAGCACCAGGAGGACGGGGGGGCGGTGGAGGAGGGAACCACCATGATGATCGACACGTCGGGACGCAGCACGCTGGTCACGGCGCCGGGCGGACCGATAGGGAACCGCAGCGCACAACCTTCCTCCAGCTTCAGTGAGACGGACAGGTGAGTCACAGCCAGGAGAGCACAGCGACTTCCTGTCTGAACCGGAGACGCATGATGACGATGGTCATGTGTTCTCGTGTGTTCTCGTGTGTTCGTGTTTTCATGTGTTTTCATGTGTTCTCATGTATCAGGTTCAGTCCCACTGGCAGTGTGGTCGTCCTGGCGGAGCGTCAGAGAGCGAAGAGCGAGTCACCGAGCAGAGCAGATGAGCTGCGACAGCCGAGCTCCCAGGTACTTTTATTTTATTTAACCTTTAACCAGGCGAGTGTCATTGAGATTAAAAATCTCTTTTTCTAGTGAGACCTGGCCAAGACAGGCAGCAACACAAGAACCACAGTTACAGACAGGAAACACAGAACAAGACAAGTTAAAAGAAATTAAAAGTTAAGAGACAGTCACGTAACAGAGTTCATTTAAAAAACATTGACATTTTTGGGAACCTGCCTCTATTTCTTTCATTTTAGATTTAAAAGCAGTGAATGGTATCAGTTCTTTTAGTTTTAAGTCATTCTGCAACATATTCCAGGATGAGGGAGCAGAGTACACAAAAGCCCTTTTTCCCTTTTCTGTTCTGGCATTTGGGACAGTGAGCATGAAGAAGTCCTGAGAACGCAAGGAGTATGTCCGACACTTTTCCGCATGATCAAGACACACAGGTAGCTTGGTAGCAGACCAAGGATTGCCTTATAAATAAAGGTGTACCAATGACAGAGCCTACAGGAGGCCAAAGCAGAGTATAACTCACAGTGGTGAGTCAGAGCTTTACAATTGGTAATGAAGCGCAGTGAAGCATGGTGAGCTGTGTCCACCATACGAAGACCGTTAGCAGAGGCCTGCATATAAAGAAGATCACCATAGTCCAACACAGGTAAGAAAGTAGCAGCAACTAATCACTTCTTTACATTAGTTGAGAAGCACAGCTTATTACGAAAATAAAAACCCAGTTTTAACTTTTAACCTTTTTCACCAGGTACTGCACACGTGGCTGAAAAGTGAGGGAGTCATCGATCAAAATATCCAGATATTTATAAGAGTCAACAACCTCTATTTCACTTCCCTCAAGAGTGACCACCGAAGGGATATTCTGTGGCCTACTCCGAGAGTTTGAAAACAACATAAGTTTTGTTTTATCTGTATTTAAAACAAGTTTCAGTTGAAGAAGGGTATTTTGAACAACATTAAAAGCATTTTGCAAGAGATCAATTGCCTGCACAAAAGCTGACGCACAGCAATATATCACAGTGTCATCAGCATAAAAGTGAAGGTTAGCTACTACTACTACTAATACAGGAGTACTAATACAGTAGTACTACTACTACTACTACTACTACTACTACTACTACTACTACTACTACAACTATTACTACTGCTACTACTACTGCTACTACAGTAGTATTACTACTAATAGTACTGCTATATCTTATCTTCAGTAACCAGGTCATGATTTCTAGGAAGACGTTGTTGTTGAGCTAATGACCTCAACAGCACCAGCCGATGCTTAGCTCCAACATCTCCTACAGGTGTTCAAACACATGTAGGATCCTCCTTTAGGTTCTCTAAATACTGTTCAATCAACTACAACATGCAGTGTGTTAGAAAGCCTTCAGAATAGCTTTAGTTCTCCAAGTGCGTGAAACCTTGGATCCCTAAAATCTGCCTTATAGAACCTCCTCACTGGATCTCAATGACCACTAGATCCTCCTAGATACCCCTTGAACCTCCTCCGTGGTCAGTATAATCTTACAGGATCCCTAGAACCTTCTGAACCTCCTGATTAACCACATAAATCTCAAATGACCCCCAGAAACTCCTAAAGGAACCCTAAGAATCTTCTTAACAGCCACTAGAACCTCTCAAAGCACCTCGTCAGTGATTTAAGCGTCATGTGACCCCGACTCATGATGGGTATAGCAGTGTAGTGCCCAGCATTTTGGAAGAGGTGAAGAAACGCGTCAAAACATCATGATGTTTATCATCTACATGGAGGTTCAGAGTGGTCAGGAACACAATGAGAAAAGAATACGCACTTTATTCTATGTCTTTTTTTTATGGCAAGTGCGTTTAAGTGCAGTGTGTCTCTGAGTGACGATGTGTAACACAAATACCTGTTGAAGTAGTTTAGATGCTGTTTGTCTGCCGAGTCGATATGTGATGAACGTATTGGACCATTCAGGTGTTACACAGCAAGTTGTATTTTACATTTTCAGTAAAACAAAATAACCCGTGTATCGCGATGCGTATTGTGAGGTGCTTGCCAATAAACAGACCTAAACCTAAACCCAGCTCAGAGTTCTGTGTTGATCCAGGGATATAAACTCCAGTGTGATGCAGTCTGTTCTGGTTCTGGTCTTTCAGGGGGAGGAGCATGCAGCGTTCGATATGGGTGGCTATGAGGACTACCTGAGGGAGCAGGTAGGGGACCGCTGGTACCGCTACAACCCCCGGCTCACCTGCATCTACTGCTGCAAGTCCTTCAACCAGAAAGGCAGCCTGGACCGCCACATGCGGCTGCACATGGGCATAACGCCCTTCGTCTGCCGCATCTGCGGTAAGAAGTACACCCGCAAGGACCAGCTGGAGTACCACATCCGCAAGCACACCGGCAACAAGCCCTTCCACTGCCACGTCTGTGGCAAGAGCTTCCCCTTCCAGGCCATCCTCAACCAGCACTTCCGCAAGAACCACCCGGGCTGCACCCCCCAGGAGGCCCACAGTGCCTCCCCCGAGACCACCACCGCCTCCGTCACATCCAGGGGAGGGCCGAGCGACGAGGCCTCCCCCAGCCAGGAGGAGCCCGAGGGCGGAGGAGGCCAGTACAGCGAGGGTCCCCAGGGCTCGGTCTCCACCACGGGACCCGACTGACCCTGAGTGACGGACGGGGCCTGCTCGGATCCTTTTGCACCTGAAGCCAATGGGACGCTGAACCGCTGACGTGGACCAGCGACGGAAAGGAGTCCGAACCGAAAGGATTTCTCCGCTTTAAACCGCATCTACCTTCACTAACCAAACCGAACAGATTTAAGCTACAATGAAGAAACGCCACACACTCCAACAACCTCACGCACCGCACGACCACGGTCCACGTGATCCACGTGGTCCTCGTGGACCACGTCTGCCTCCGTCTACTTTATGTTACAGATTTCTACTTTTATATCGTGTCACAGGTTCACGACAGTCTGTCTGCTGGAACTTTGCCAAACTACTCGGTGCCAGTTCAACAGTTCAAATCCTTCATATTTGCCTTGAGACAATCTGGAGCAGCAAGGTTAATAATAATAATAATAATAATAATAATCCTGCGCGCTCTTTAAAATGCCACGTCGGCATAGAAATATTATTTAAAAAACTACGACTGTTAGAGTTCAGTTCCAGTGTGATCAGAGCTTCTTTATCGATTAATCTACCGATCAGTTCATTGGTCAGTTCATTGACCAGTGTATTGGTCAGAAGATGAATTAAGAAGCTGAGGATCTTTTCTCATTTTGACTTTAAAATCACCTCAAATTTGTAATTGTGGTCAAAATAGTGACCGATTTGTGTTGCATAACAAATTCATCGGATCACTTTATTTGAAATTGAATCAGTTTTGTTTTTACTAAATATAAATCAAAATAAATTACAAAACGTTCTGACATACAAAGTAGAGCTGCTGTTAAAACACTCTGAAGACTACATGGAAAATAAATAATATATAATACAAAAGTTAGAAGCTGGAAAATAAGTTTGATTAAAATTGAACTGAACTGAAATCCTTTTAGCTCCTCCCAGAGCTTTCTACTGTAGCACATGGCCTTTACCAGCCAATCAGCTGCTCAGGTGTCACCAGAGGAAGCTCCTGGGATGCAGCAGAAAGCTCCAGAACGAGTAGACGGAGGTCTTTTATTCAGCGTCGTGCTGACTGAGCTCTGATCACACTGATCCAATCAATTCTTCAGATTATTGATGACAGACTCACAGCAGGAAGCCTCAGATAAGCTACACAGTTACCTCTCACCACTACGCAATACAGCTTCTGCTCCACCGGAGGGCGCTCTGGTCCACACGGAGCTCCGTCTCCTCAAATAGTTTTTATAAACACACGTTTTATTGTTTTTTTTGTGTTTCTTGGACGCTTTTTTTTGTTTGGTTTTTGCTCTGACAATGTTTGAGACGGGTGACAGAGGCTTCAGGACCAGATCAGGACCGGATCACGACTGGATCAGTACCGGATCAGGACCCGTTTCTGTTAATGATGCGCTAAATCTGCTGCACCAAAATAGAAACGTACTAAAACTAACGATGACGCATAAGTTTAAAATCAATCCGGGAGTATTAACAGAAGATAGGCAGCGAGCTGTGTCATCTTCAAAATGGAGGCCAATTATGCTAACATTAGTTTGCAATAATTTTACCATAATTAATTATCATGCAGCGGTTCAAAGCTCAAACCACAGAGTTCCTAGCATAAAGAGCTAACGTTCGTTACCTCGTCAGCCACCTGAAGCTAGCAGATGTAAATGAACATTAGCTTGCTAGCTTACTGGTTTTTGCTTACTCATTCATTCATTCATGCTAATAAGTAACAACTGTGAGCTAGTTAGCTAACCTTTACCAAACTGTCTTACTCGTCGTCATAACGATTGTGAGCTGATTAGTTAATGTAAATTAACTGTTTATCTATTTTTCTTTAGGCAGACACAGCTCAACTAGCATTAGCTCACATGCTAGTTGATTTCTCGCTGACTTATCATTTGTGATTAGTGGTTCAGAGCTTAAACCTCCTTCACTAAAACGTTTGTTTTAAGGCAGACGCACAAGAAGTTAACGCTAACGTGGAAGCTAACGGATGTTTTGCTTATTCATGGTCACTCACCGACACCACAGACCTCCATCGCTGTAAGAGCAAACCGTTAGCTACAACATTATAATGTTCCTGAAAGAAGTACACAGAAAAATCACTGTTAATCTTCAAGCTGTTATGCTAGCATTAGCTTGCAAGCTAACTTTCAAACGATTGTATTCTACTGGCCCAGAACTACATTTAGTTAAAAGAGCTAATGTGTGTGAGCTAGTTAGCTAACATTGAGCTCTACTATTTAACGTGTTTCTGATGGATATCAGTTTCATCTCTCTGTGTAGGTCCAGGTTGTGTTTAGCTTAGCTTAGCACAAAGACTGGTAGCAAGGGGAAACTACTAGCCTAGCTGTACGTTTGATATGTTAACTCTAGCTAATGCTAACAGGCAGTTAGCTTTTCACACATGCAGTAGAGGCGACGCGTCATGGCGACAGGCGGTCCTGATCGGGTCCTGATTGGGAGCTACCGGACCAGGAGCCGGACCCCGTCAGACCAGATGGATGTAGTAAACCACGGAGCTGGACTAGGACTAAACCCTCCAGGGGTCAAAGGTCGGACCGCGGCCATGTTGGTTCTCCAAAACAACGTCAGCACTTATCAGAGGACAAGGATCAAAAGCAGAACTTTATATAGAACCACATATTCAGAGACATATTTAAACTAGTATGAATACGAATGAGCTGGTAGCACATCGGCTGTTACTGTTGTTTTCTACACGGCCGGGAATCAGATGTTTTTTATGCAAATGAAGCCAGCGGCTCCGTGTTCTCTTCAGGCCAAACAGGAAGTATCAGGTACACAGTTTACCTTTGTCTACGTAGCACGATGCTAACGGCTAACCTCAGAGCGAGCTACGCAGAAGCTCACCTGTAAATAAAGGCTGACACACACACACACACGCACACAGACAAATACACACACACACACACACACACACACACACACAGATACACACAACCAGGGCTGGGCAACGTGGAGTAAATCCTCAGTTGTCATGACAACCTCAAAGTACCACGGCAACAGAGAGTACTGCTTTCTGATTGGCTAACGGCCGACTTAACTCAGTTAAATCAGTTTGTTTACGGCTCGTCAGGAATATTTTACAAAAATAAATCTAGAATATATAAATATTAATTTACCTTCTTTACATTAGAAAATCTTACAAAACATGAAATCAAAGTTTATGTAGAAAATATAGTGGGAGGAGTCTTTACACCTGTAACCACACCCATCAGTGATGTCACAGCGTACAGGGGTACACCTGTACATCACTGCAGCCAGGTGACGACTTTAACTTCAGATACATTATTATTATTTATTTTGGCTGCTGATCAGATGATTAAATTAACTTCTTTATTTTATTCTGTTACAGACGATTCAAACTGGATTCATAGAGTTTAGACTCGTTTTAAACAATAGAAACCAGATCTATTTTAATGTCTTTAAACTTAAACTGATGAAGACCACGATGCTCAGCTCTGGAACCAGAACCACATCAAACCATTAAACACAAACTCAGAATTATGAAACAAACTACAAGTTTCATTTTTATCTGTTTCTTCATAAACCAGATTGAACTGGTCCAGACCGCCTCGTGTCCTGAGAACTGTTTACATCACATCAGTCCAGTTCAGTCTAGTCTGGTTCAGTCTGGTCTGGTTCAGTCCGGTCTATCTGGGGGAATCTATAAAGGAGAAGTGGGATCAGAGTTCAGGTCCGATGGACCTCCATGTTATTTTAAAGTGGATCAGGATCAGAACAGATTTACTGTGAAGTCACTTTTCTTTTATTCCGTTCAGTAAAAATCAAATGCATAAATGTGACATTTGTTCTGGTTCTGATATAAAGGATCCAACTTCTCCTCCTCGATGGTTCTTCAGATTCAAACTGTGAAAACAGCTCAACCTCATCTTCATCACTCTGGTCCTCATGGAGTCACAACCAGGTCTCATGTTTTATAGTTTTATTATATCCAGTAAACATGTTTAATTAAGAATCAAATCATTTATATACTTAATGAGATTACTCTTTACTGTTGATTCCTCACATATACGGTAATATATCAAAGAAGAAGGTTCTGGGTTTATGTTGCATGTCTCTGTTTGAGGGTTTAAATGTGAAGCAGCTTCTGTCACCACGACCACTCGACCACTCACAGGAAATAAAGCACTTTACGTGTCCACTCGCCTCCTTCTTTACCCACAATGCAGCGGGCTATGAATAAACATGTTACTATTATTACCATATTATGTGCTTAATATATTCATAAAGATGTGAAGCTCCTCTTCCTGTTTCCACCAACACAACTGTCAGCATAAACTTGTACGCTAGTCAGCGGATATAATGAGAATAATATTTGAATTACATTTTAGAGATTATTTAGCAAGTCACGTCCGCTAAGAGAATACTTGGAGAGCAGGAGGGAGCTCTAGTGCAGTGGTTCTCAACTGGTCTGGCTGCGGGACCCACCATCACCCCTTAATGACAAGCCGCGACCCTATCTATATTCAAGAGGTCTAGTAGTAGTAACGTATCTGTGTAGTAAACAACTGCCAAATAAAGAAAGTACACATCAATTATATTTTAACAAATATTATTTTAATTTTTCAAATTTAACTGGATGGATTATAAATAATGCATAGAAAGACATGAATAAATGTTCTCATTTCAAGTAAAATAACGGCTGGATTAAAAAAATTGTTTCGTAACGAAATTAATTTTAGAAAAATTATTTTCACTGAATTGCCCTGCAGCTTTAAATTCAGTTCATTCAGGATGAAGTGAAAAGGCCACAATATTATATTTTCTCATCTTCTAAAAAGAGAATTTAGTGTTGGAAGAATTCACCTATACGAGTCTGGTCTCTCTGGCCAATTTTCTCTTTTGGAAATCGTCCTATGATTTGACTTTCACACTTCAATAGTCCTGCTCTGCTCGTCTCTCCCCGTGTGTCACGGTGTGTGAACATCTCACTGAGTCAGGAAACTTGTCAGAATACCCATATTTGATTGGATGAGCTGCATCACGTGATGTGATTCACAACGCATTGGTCGGTGTTTTTCCTGCACCGCTGAACAAGTGCCATAAATGCTGGAATAATTCCGCTGCATAAAAACTGCCCATCAAAATAAAATCACATTTTTTTATCTTTTTGTCAGTCAAAGGCCCGCGACCCACTGAAAACGGGTCCGCGACCCACCAGTTGAGAATCACTGCTCTAGAGGCTAGCTAGCTAATAGCCCCTTCTGGAGACTAGCTAGCTAATAGCCCCTTCTAGAGACCAGCTAACTAGCCCCTTCTAGAGACCAGCTAATTAGCCCCTTCTAGAGACCATCTAACTAGCCCCTTCTAGAGACCATCTAACTAGCCCCTTCTAGAGACCATCTAACTAGCCCCTTCTGGAGACCAGCTAACTAGCTCCTTCTGGAGACCAGCTAACTAGCCCCTTCTAGAGACCAGCTAACTAGCCCCTTCTGGAGACCAGCAAACTAGTCCCTTCTGGAGACCACCAAACTAGCTCCTTCTGTAGACTAGCTAACTAGCCCCTTCTAGAGACTAGCTAACTAGCCCCTTCTGTAGACCAGCTAGCCTGTTCCAGATGCTAACTAGCCCCATCTGGAGACTAGCCAACTAGCCCCATCTGGAGACTAGCAGCTGTCCTCTCCAGTGAAGTATTCTTCCAGCGGCTTAGTGGTCGGCTGGTCTCTTTTAGGTCCGAGACCAAAGAAACTCTTAGTCGGCTAACAATCAGTTGATTCTATGGACAGATTCTCCCAAAAAAACAACACTTTAACTTTTGTGCACGTCATAAGATTTTAATATATGAAGTCATTCAGCATTAAAAAGGATAAAAATACTTCTAAATGGTTTCTAAAGGAGCTCCAGGAGAGTTAGTGACTGTGCGTATTAAGATAAATCCAACTTTAAAATATCCAACTATACATATATATATATATATATACATACATATATATACATATATATATACATACATATATATACATACATATATATATATAAATACATACATACATATATATACATACATATATATACATACATATATATACATACATATATATATATATATATACATACATACATATATACATATACATATATACATACATACATATATACATATACATATATACATACATACATATATACATACATATATATACATATATACATATATATACATACATACATACATATATACATATATATACATACATACATACATATATACATATATATATACATACATACATACATATATACATACATACATACATATATACATATATATACATACATACATACATATATATATATATACATACATACATACATATATATATATACATACATATATATATATACATACATACATACATATATATATATACATACATATATACATATATATATATACATATATATATATACATACATACATACATATATACATACATACATACATATATATACATACATATATATATACACATACATATATATATACATACATATATATATACATACATATATA